TTAATATCACCAAACGAAAGCCAAAGGAATTATGTACCTTGTTCAAGTTCAGGCCATGACTAGCACGTACAGAGACTTTGTGTGCATTTTAAAAACAAGGTATCTTTTCCTAAAGATATTTTATTTCCATCTGTCATAAAATTTGTCATAATAAACTGATTTAATTAAAACAAAAAACTTGACTGTCCATAAAATTGTCTCAATAAATATTCAAACTTACAATCTATGGTATAAATAGCATGCACTTTAGATGTATTTCTTTGTGCAGTGCACAATCTACTCAATGGTAAATGACAATCCTGTATGAGATATTTAATAAGTGCATACCCAGAAATTTTGCTCCAAAGTATCACGTTTATTCCCATCCTAAATGACAATGATCAGGAATTTCACATTAATTCTAGCTGCATATTACTGCTGTCTCCTTTCAGCACTGTTTCATACTCAAAGCACTCATAAAATGTATTAATGTGAACATAAAGCCACTGAATACATAGAAAGCAACTAATACTAGCTAGGCTAAGAAAAATTTCTTGGCGAATCCATCATGAGCCTCTCCTAGACAAGAACTGTTTCTCCAAATCCTAATTTTACCTACCAGGAAAACAGGAAAATATTCTTAGAATTAGTATAAAATAGTTGTTCTCATAAATATCAATCAAATATTCAGTCTGAACCCTAAAGTCTAATTACTACAAAAATGACTTGAATCAGATTTCACTATGATGTTAAAGTGCTTCAGATCAATATTCAGTCAAATTATGGAAGAAAGATATTAAGATAACAAGAGTTTTTAAAGAAAAGATTTTGACTTTTCCTAGAAGAAAAGTAGGCAGTACCATGCAGTCATTAAGTGCAAAATGTGAAACACTTAACAATCTTCAAAGGCACATATTTACACATACTGTTAATATGTATATCCCAGAATGTGAAATGCCCTAACGCCCAGTGAAAATAAAAAATGTTCTTAGAAAGAGCAATGCATGTACACATGGTGCTTTATTCTCCAAACCACCTTTTTGAGTCTCTATTACGTTGCAAGTTTTGTGTTAGACACTGAGGACACAGTGACAGTCCATGCACCACCCTTATTCCAACAAGCAAAATTAATGTAAAAAAAAAAAAGTGCGATAAATGCAGCAATAGAGATCTAGACAAAGTATAATTAACCTCACTTGATGGGGTTCTGATCTTTGTGGGGTTCTACACACTGAATTTCTTAGAATTTAGGTAAATAGAGTTCATAATAATATAAGTAAGCTTTAAAATTAACATACTACTCAGCCAAAAAAAAAAAATGGTAAACTAATACCTCTTGTATTAACCTGGATGGAACTGGAGACCATTCTTCTAAGTTAAATATCATAAGAATGGAAAAACAAACACCACATGTACTCACCATTAAATTGGAACTAATTGATCAACACTTATGTGCACATATGGAAATAACTTTCATCAAAAATGAAGCAGGTTGGGGTGAAAGAGGGGATGGGTAACTTCACACCTAATGGGTACAACACACACTATCTGGGGGATGGGCACACTTATACCTTTGACTCAAATGGTACAAAAGCAATTTATGTAACCAAAATGTTTATACCTCCACGATATTCTGAAACTTAAAAAATAAATTAATTAAAATAAATTACAATAAATTAACTTAAAAACCAATTCTTACCATCATACTTGGCTCCCAATAAATACATAATAGATGTGAAATGAATAAATAAATTAACTTTCCAGCTTACAAATTAGACTTGGGCTATAAACAAACATTCACATCAATTATAAAAGAAATATTCATGAATACAAAATCTTTTTAAATACCCAGAAGCCTAAGGCAATTTAAAATGAGGGAAGATGCCATTTAAATACAAACCTCATGCTGACCAGCTTAAAAGATAAATAAATTATTCGTGATATCTATTAGGGCCATTTTATCATATATTTTCAGAATCTCAGTAACAATTTTTTTTCAGTCATGTGGACTATATATTTTCCAAATCTCAACCATATCTATCTATCTGGCTTTGCAAAGATGATCAATTATAAGGAGCTCTAACAATTTCCACTGTTTTTCAGCCATCCAGCTAGAGAAGATCTAAGCTTAAGTGAGAGGTGGGGATGGGGTTAGAGAAAAGCTTATTCTTTGCTGTATGTATGGAGGGGATGTACACTTATGAATTCCAACTTTTCAGGTGGATAACTGGAGATAATAGTTCGTTCCTGCAACATTTTTACCCACTCCACCCTGCCTCCCAAGCCTCCCAAGGAACACTGTACTGAAATAGAAGTAAAATGCTAAGTACCTTACTCACCTTTTCTTCTAATTCTGTGTTTTAGACTTTTTTAAAATTTTCATCTCACATTCTATTATAAATAACCTGAGTATGGGGACACAGTCTGTGTAGTTCTCTGCAATCAGCATCCATTCCAGCACCCTGCACAACAAAGCACTCACAAAATGTTTCCTGGTGCTTGTGTTAGACAGTAAACTACCCTACACATGAAATTCAAAAGTTGGCACTTTTTTAAAACATACTTTAGGCAATGACTGATGTGAAGGAGGATCACAAAATAAGAGAATTAAGAGGCCTTGAAACTAGTTATTGTCAACATTTTTTAACCATGTGAGCTTCCTCCACCCTAATTTCTACTAATGCCACTTAGAAAATAGTGGCAAACTTTCTATGTAGAGTCCCTAGAACTTTAGAAGGGGAGGAAAAGAGAATATAAATATAACTCCATAGTATAATATATATATAATATATATAGTAAATATATATAATATAATAAATATATAATAATATAATAGTAAATATATATAATATATATTTATAATATAAATATAACTCCACATGCACTTGCAGAGAAGATCCATTTCTCAGTAACTAAGTGAAATTTTATAACCACTTATTCCTATAATTTTGTTAAATATTAGTATAAGCAGAACAATTAAATAGGAGTATACAATTTGAGTTGCACACAATTAAGAATGCATAAAAAAGCTCCAATTAACTATGAAGTTTGCATAGTAAAACACTGGTAAGTTAGCCCTTTATTCTGAAAGAAAAATATTTAGTTTCAATTTCTTTTTGAAAAATAGGCCTCATATTCATCTGTTCTCTGGAACTAATGAAAAATGCAGGTTTCTACCCTATCTTCAGTCAGTGCATGTACACAGACAGACCTGATGAGGAATTCCACAGGCAGAAGTATTAAAAATGGATACATATTAGCAACATAAGAAAACCATTAAAGAGGGATATTTCCTCTGGTACTTACAGGCTTTTTTCATTAACAAAGTTCTCACTGCCCCTAAAGAGTCTGAATACAAATAAATATTCCTAATTCTTCCTCAGGTCTACATAAATTCCCCACAACTTACTTTTATCCTCTATTGAAATCGAATGTACATCTGGTTTACACAAGAGCATCATACTGCTAGGTAATTAATAAGTACATGATATTCATTCAACTAAATATGTATTGCAAATATATGCAAACTACATAAGTCCTAGAGTACTAGGGATTGAGAAAAAATACATTAAAAAGATAATTAGCATTCTTGATTTGAAATTTAAATATTAATACAAGTAAAATGAAACAGTAGAGAGAAGACAAATGAAATGGAATGGGATGGAATAGGATGATAAAATGAAATGGAATGGGGAAATGATTTCCCTACTCTTGGCCACACTCTTACATGATTATCATGTTATTGTTCTACATTTTTCTAAATTACTATAACAAGTCTTAAAGACATTGTCCTATTTTTCTCCACATCTTTAACACTACCATAGTGTAGAACATATATCTAAGTGAGAATATAGATGAATATTAATATGTCATACAAAAGAAACAGAAAATGATAGCACTTAAACCATTGCTGTGAATATAACTAGTCTAAGCATTAAGGAATCAGCTTATTAATTGTCACCTAAAATAAACCCTGTAAATGTTTTCTCAAATTTTCGTTTCTCAAAATCCATCATTGTGACTTAGAAGTAGGGAACTTTAGAAGTTTTAGAAGTGACAATCTTAGTAGTATTTACAGCAAAAACTAAATCCTTCAAGAGCAGTTCAGGATGGATTTCTAGGTTTATCATAACAAAGATACATTTAATTTTATAAATATCAAAGAATCTTCTTTAATCATGTTCCTCATGGAGAAAGAGCCCAGGAAAAGAAGCAAGCCCCAAAGCTTCTAAACTGCATTTTCCACGTAAGAGAGACCCTGGCACCTTATTACTTAATCCCACTGGAAACTCTGGTGTACAGAAACTAGCAGTCCATGGGTACTAGAAGTCTAAAACATGAAACACATAACATACATTTGTACATGGGCTGCCTTCCATCCAGGAGACAGCCCTGATCTCTTTAGAAATTGCAGAGTGAGCCAGGAAATCAGCTTCAAAGATTATGCATCTCTGCTCTGCCTCAGAGGCCCCAACCCACATCCTAATGGTTCTGAGAGGTTTCCATGATCAAACCCAAGAACAAGAGGCAGAACTGAGGCTCGTAAATGGCCCATCCAGGCTCTTCCACGCAGCCTGTCTCTGCCTGACACCACCCCCCTCCAGGAATGTAAATGATATGTTCAGAACTGAAGTGCTTTACCCTTGCTGTATGTAAATTATTCATGACCCCCTTCTTCTCTATCTACTCCCTGCTCTCTTTACCAATTTATATCTAAGCTACTTTAATTGCCTTGTGCTCTGCTCCTCTCAGAAAATTAAAAAGGAAACCAGATTAGCTAAATAACTGAATCAGATTTCTTTTCAACATATTAGGGAGTAGATAAACTGCTTCGTAATTTCTTTGATATTCAGCTTTTTAGAAAGCAATTCCTTAAATTATTCTGCTTAAATCTTTGAACTACTTTGCTAACTTTCTTTGGTAGCATGCTAACACTGCGCTAAAAAGCCTGTGCAATGTCACGAAAACCTTAATTTCTTCAGTCAGTGCTTCAATGTGAGCAGCAGGGGGCAATAGCATACCAAGAATTGCAGAAACTGTCTTGGGCTCTGAGAAACACTGTTGAATTACTGCAGTGGGTCTGTGTACTCTGGCTGCGATGATCTCAGCTCTCAGATGAAGTCTTTTGTTTTGTGTCCTATTTTACAATGCACCGTTCAGTTTTCTCTATGAGTTGTGACTTAGTCACAGTATTTCACTGTGACAGCTTAGTTTAAGAAAAAGAAAGGTAAAGGGACAAAAAAGAAGAAAAAGAGAAAGAGAAAATTAAAATGCTTCCAAATGAAACACATAAAGACAAAAAGTAATCCTGCATATATCTGTATATATAAAGTTTGTCCCTTCTCCATTCCCATCTTGGACATAGTTTTTCTGTATTACAGACCTAATTCATCCCTATTCCTCCCTCTGTCTCTCTCTCTCTCTCTCTCTCTCCCATTTCATTCTATTTTCTCTGCCAGTTTTCCATTAAAACAGATTTATCAAAAGAAAAAAGCAAACCAAAAAACCTCTTTTAACCCAAATACTTGACTTTTTAAAAGAATATTTTAAAATTCTGTCATCTTTCTGGCCTTTAATCAGGCTTCTGAGTATAGAATTGTAATGTTTTTATGCTTCTTGAACATTTATTACTTAAGATATAGTTCATTGATACATGTTGCAATAAAATTCTTCCCCTGTAAAAGCACAGCTTCAGAAAAAATAGCCAAAAGCTGTATTTATGATCTATATCTGATGTGTTTGGAGGTAGAATATAAAGTATAAATTGAAACAGCAGAGGTTTGAAGAATCTCTGGCATCATTGCAAATGATACAGGTTGGGAAAGGTATTCAGTAATCCAACTTTCAAAGTCAGCAAACATGAAATTACTCTCATACATAATTTGAGTTACACCCCCAAAATATAATATCTACAAGCGTGGCTTTCTTCCCTACTTAGGATGGAATTCCCAGGGTTATTAGTGTGTTCCCACAGAGCTATTAATTTATTTCTGTGGTATGTAGTAGTATTATTTCAACATCTGGTACCAAAATTCCTCTTGAACAGGATAATGTTTGCTCAATCCCTAACTGACAGGACCCTATCTGATCCTGTTGGCTTGTCAGCTCTAGACTTACCTCCCACTATTTTCCTGCTTACTGCCCTGGTCACACTAGCTCCCCTGGTGTTCTTCACCTCTGCCCTAGCTGTTCCTCTCTATCAGGAACAATACTACTTCATTTATCCAAATGATTTCATTCCTTCACCTACTTTGAGTGTTTGTGCAAAATCACCTTCTTGGTGAAATCTTCTCTGACCACTTGTTTAAAATGGAAATTCCCTCCAGCATTTTCTATCCCTCCTTTCTCTTTTATTTTCCTCAATGGCACTTATCATCATCAAATATGGTATATATTACACATGTAAATATTATTTAGGAGATAACTGAGACCAAACATATTAGCCAATAGAGGGCTTAACCCCACTATTAAAAGAGAAAAACTTAGGTTGGTCAAAGGAAAACTCAAGTCTATATTGTATATAAAAGACAAAGACCCACCTAAGATAAAACTATACAGAAATGTTAATAACAAAGGGAAGGATATGTAAGGTATACGAATAAAATACAAATTAAAAAAAGAGAAAGAACTGAGATTTTGAAATTCAATAAAATAGATTTCAGACTAGATATTGAAATATACAATCTCTGCAATTAAAGCAGTATAATATGAATAGACAATCGGATCAATGGGAAAAAATATAGATTTGGACCCAAATACGATGTGGAAATTTATGTATGTAATAAAAATGGTAGCTCTAATCGCTGGGGGCAGGGACAACGTTTTAAATTAAATGTTATAACAGCTTAATAGTCATTTGAAAAATAGAATTGGATATAACAGTCACATAGGTAATTCCTGCATACATGCGTGTGTGTGTATTTATCATGAATCTTATAATGAGAAACCAAACTCGCCTATCCAAACTGAAAGATATTCTGGAAGATCACTGTCCTAGACTTTTCAAAAATGTCAATGCTAGGGAAAATACAAAAAAGCTGGGGAACTGTTCTATCCTGAAGCTAAAGAGACTTGACAACTAAATCTAATAGGTGATCCTTGCTTTTTACAAACTATATGGCAAACAAGGACATTTGGGAGACAAGTGAGGAAATGTGAATATGAATGATATAGTGATGTAACAAGGTTACATTTCCTAAGTATGATCATTGTATTGCGATCCTTAGGACAGCAGTTCTCAATAGGAAGATTTTGCTCCCCTCCCCGCAACCCCCTCCACCGCCACACACCCGTTTGGAAACGTCTGGAGACGTGTCTGGTTGTCACATTTGGGAGGGAGGTGTCGCTACGAGCATCTAGTGGGTAGAGGCCAAGGACACAGTTAAACATTGATAGTTTCTCACAGGTCACTCCCCCCCCCCAACACACACACAAAAACCACCAGAGGAATCGTCCCGCCCCAATGTCAGCGGCGCTTGAGAATCCCTGATGTAGGACAATCCCTTATTCTTAGAGGATACATACTGAGATATTAGGCAAGAAATTGTCACTTGCGTGGGTCACATGTCGGCAATACTTAAGGGCGAAGAGTTGCTCGCAACTAACTCTCAAAATACAGCCTACGTCCTTGGCGCGTGGGGCCCTCGGGCGCCCGGCCCGGGGAGGACGCGCGCTCCCCGGGAGAGAAGAGCGGCGGCCGAGCCCGCGCCGGGGAGGAGCCTGCGAGTGGCACTGCGCACGCGCCGGGCTGCCGGCCGCGCCCACGCGGCGCCTCTCCCGAAGTTGCGGAGCGCGCCGGGCGCGGGGTGCCCACCACCGAGGTGGGAGGAAAAACTCCCCTGGGGGCTCCATTGGCTTCTCCGGGAGTGACCGCGATGTTGCCCCAGTCGGAAGACCCGAACCCTGCTGCTTTGCGGTCCGCTTAGGGCCACAGTGAGCATCCTCTTCCATTTGGAGCCCCCGGCCGGGAAGCGCCAGGCGGGCCCCTTGGAGTCTGGATTTTCAGAGGTGAATTTTCTTTGGTGGATTCCAACTTGCTGTGTCTGAGAAGCCCGGGCAGCACAGCATCGCCTGATCCACGTGTCGCTGGGCACACTCATTCCTCAGCCGGCGCCTCGCCAGCAATCGCATACTCAGGTAAAAATTTTAAATACCCTAAGATTTTTCTGCCTAGAGTCTTTAATCAAGGAGTTGGCAGACTTTTTCTGTAAAGATCCAGGTAGCAACTATTGTAAAATTTGCAGGCCAGGAAGTCTCTGTCGCACATCTGTCTTTGTTTGACAACCTCGTAAAACTGTAAAAACCACTCTTAGCGGCAAGCCTTACACGAACTTGGAGACCGCAATGATGGGGTCTAATCATTAACTTTGCTCAGCACTGAGGCTGGAGCGTCAGTGACTACTGAGTTCTCTGTCCCTTCCCAGCCCGACCGTAGTTCCGCAATAAGGACCCTGGGTCTGTGAGGCCCGTGACCCACAGAGTTTACTCAGCCTTCGCTTGCCCAGGTGCCCGGGAGATCTCTTGGATCCCCTCACCTGCGCCTCTGCTCCTCCCAGGCGCTGGCTGCTGGTGAGTTCCCAGCTGTGGCCAGGGAGGCCTCCAGAAACTCCCAGACCAGCCCCAGACCAGCTGCCACGCCCTCCTTTACTCTAAAAGTCAGTAGCTTCCCATCTGGGAACAAATGCCTAAGTCCCAACACTTTGAATAAATTAATGTAAAATACAAGAGTATCTCAGACAATTGTATTTTAATAGCATTGTTTTGTAGTGATAAATATATGTCCACTATGATCATTTGGAAGATATTGGGAAGTATATAGGAGAAAATAAAAATTCCCCATAATCCCAACTGACAAAAATTGCTGTTAAAATGTTTATGTATTCTTTTAGTTCTTTCTTTCAGTGCATATTAATATGACAACTTATTGGACAATTGGATTTTTAAAACTATTTCTTAGTAAACTTTTGTTGAATGCAGCATACAGAAAAATGTACAAATTATAAATATAGTTTAATAAACTTTCAAAGACTAACATAAACATATACCGGCAATCACCACCTAGATCAAGAAATAAACTGTTGCTAGCATCTGCAACCCCCTGTCCAATCAGGGGCAACTTCTTTCCTAATATAACCACTATCTTTTGTCTGTTCTTGAATTTCACATGAAATGAATTATTCAGTAAATATTCTATAGTATTTGGTTTCTTTCACTCCATATTATAGTTGAGTTCTTCCATGTTTGTGCATGTAACAGTTCTTTTTAAAATTTTATTTTGTGCTGTATGAATTTCAGTTGTGGATTATATATACACAATTTATCCTTTTTACTGTTAGTTTTTCTTAATAACAGCCTTATTGAGATGTAATTCACATACCATACAATTCATCTATTTAAAGTGTGCAAGTCAATGGGGTTTTTTTAGTATATTCACAGATATGTGCAACCATCACCACAATCAATTTTAAAACATTATCATCATCTGAAAAGTGGCTCCAGACCCTTTAGTTGTTACCACCCCTCAACCCCACCTCCCTATCCTTTCCATCCCCAAGTAGCTACTAATCTTCTTTCTGTCTCTATAGATTTGCCTATTCTGGACATTTTACAGAAACTGAATCATATGAGTTGAGGTCTTTTGTGACTGATCCCTTATGCTGATATTGGACATTTAGATTATTTCCAGGTTTAGAGCTATTACAAATAATACTCCTGTGAACATTATTCTGCACATGTTTATTTACATGGATGCATATTTCTATTGGGAACATACCCAAAAGTGGAATAGCTAGGACAGAGGGTATGTTTATGGTCAGCTACAGTGATAGTGCCAAGCAGTTTTTCAACTTTATACTCCTACCAGCTTTGTATGATGAGAGTTTTCATTGCTTTACATCCTCATCAACATTTGGTGTTTATATGTCTTTAATTTACACTTCTCTGATGATTAATGATAAAAAAACATCTTTCATGTGATTATTAGCCACTTGGATATCCCTTTTAATAGCGTGCCTTTTAGGCATTTACCCATTTTTCTATTGGGTAGTTTTTTCTACTTGATTTTCCACTTGACTTACATATTCTAGATGAGTGCTGCAAACAAACCCCATTTCCTTATCAATGGCTTGCATTTTAACTATCTTATTGTTAGAGTTTTATGAATATGTCTTTATTTTTTATTAAAATCTAATTTAGCAATCTTCCTCATGGTTTGTGCCTTTGCTAACTTGTAAGAAATCATTGCCTGCCCCAAGGTGACAAGGACATTCACCTATGTTATCATCTGGAAACTTAACATTTTTTTCTTTGAGCATTTAGCTCTACTAGCTACCTAGAATTGATTTTGGAGTATGGTGTGAAATAAAGACTAATTTTTTTCATGTAGTTATACCCAAGTCCTTCTTGGGAAATAAAATATTTTTAAAACCACTGCTCTGTGATGTCACCTTTGTCATAAATCAATGTAAAACAGACCTACAGATGTTGGAATCAGTAGACAAAGAATTAAAATAACCATAAATAATAAATAAATAAGGTATTTTACTAAAGGTAGATATAACAGATGAAAACATAAATTTCAGGAGGAATACAAATAATAGAAGAAGGAAATGGAATTCCTAGAATTGAAAAATACAATAACTGAAATTATTTGATAGGATTATCAGTAGATTGGATACACAGTACAGATAATCAATAAATTTGAAGACAGGTCAATAGGAATCATCCAGATTTAAAGTATGCTGAGAAATTTTTTTTAAATAAACAGAGCATCAGTGACTTATGATATAGTATCAGGCAATCTAACATACATGAAATTAGACTCCCATAAGGCAAAGAGAGTATAAAGCAGAAAAATATTTGAAAAAATATGAGCAAAAGCTTTCCAAATTTGATCAAATACATTTTATTAATATCTAAAATGATTACTTGTTTTCAATGGAGAGTTGATTCCAATAACCTAGTTTGCAATTAATAGAATTTAGAAGTTAGCATAAATAAAGTTTTATATCTACGTGAATAAACAGTAAGGTGTTTTATAGTCACAGAATATAGAAAAATACCTTATTGGGTTTAACTGTCGTGAGCATGACTATACTTTTCACATAAATGTTACCTACCCACTAAAGGCCAAAACTACCACCCCAGTCATAGTAATGTCAAAATGTCCTCACAATTTTTTGAAAAATCCCTTCGGTGCACAATATGGCCCAGCATCCTCTGAGAACCCCTCCCTCCGGTGATCTCCTCCTTATTCCATGCCCTTTCTGACCTCATCTTCTAATGCTTTTAGGTATCAAAGCACACTGGCCTCTTTCTGTCTCAGAGCCTTTGGGATTACTTTTACCTCTACCATAATGACTCTTCCCCAATAGCCATATGACTGACTATTTTCTCAGGTTATTGTTCAAATGTCAGTTTTTCAATGATACCTATTGATTAAACAAAGCAAAAGACGTTCACAATCTCTCCCCATCTGTACTCATTTGCTAGGGCTGCTATAGCAAAATACCACAGATGGAGTGGTTTAAACAACAGAAATTTGTTTTCTTAGTTCTGGAGGCTAAAAGTCCAAGATCAAGGTGTCAGCAGGTTTGGTTTCTCCTGCAACCTGTCTCTTTGGCTTGCAGTTGGCAGCTTCTCTCTGTGTGTTCCTGTGGTTTTTTTCCCTCTGTGCATGAGCACCCCTGGTGTCTTTCTGTGTGCCCAAATTTCCTCTTATATGAACACCAATTAGATTGGATTAGGGCCTAACCTAAGGGCCTCATTTTAACTTAACCACCTCCTTAAAAGCTTTATCTCCAATTATGGTTACCTTATAAGGTACTGGGGATTAGGATTTCAACATATGAATTTTATAATGGGAGACACAATTTAAGCCATAACACCATGTCTAGTTTATCTGTAGCTCTTATTTTAAATACAATGTACTTTAATTATTTAATTTGTTTATTGCCTTACCTTCTGTTCCACTAGAATATAGGTTCCATAAGGGAGAGATTTTAATCAATTTTGTTCTCTGTAGTGTCTTCAAAACCAAACAAGGAAAATTTTATAATTGTTTATGTTTTTACTCCGGGCCAGCATATGGGCAACCTTAATTTAGTCCGAATAACTCCCTATATTTTGCAGGGCATTCCTTCATTTCTTCATGAGTGAAGAAAGCCCTGATAGTATTCCAGTAATTCATGCATTTTAAAGTTTTTTTGAGTTTCTTAGGAAAAAGGATTATAGCAATAAAAGATCCCAGCTTTTTACCAACAAAAATAAATGTGATATGCTTGTTTCCAAAGCAACAAAAAGATTTACCTGATTAAGTAGATTGAGGGCTCTTCCGTATTACACTGAAATATCCAGCCAAATTGCTGAGGACCCCCTCACTAAGAAAAAATGCTTAGAGCCATAATCACAAAGAAATTTGCTTATTCAATTATAAACTAATTTGTACCAACCTTTTTTTTTTCTTTAGGAGGTCAGGCTCAGGATGGACCATGAGCTTTCAAAAAGAAAAAAGCTGGAACTCACCAACTGTGCTGCCAAGTGAATAAGTGTTTCTTTGTTGCAAGTACAGAGTCAAGGAAAATTACATTCCTGCATTATGTAATCTAAAACAACCTGTTTACCTACTGTATTAATCTAGGTTATTCTTGAAAGCAGAGCCTGAGACAAAGGTAGACACATTCTGTTTGGGAATCTGATACCAGGGAGCAGGAACAAGAGAGGGGAGTGAATATGGGGAAAAGGAAAAGAAAATACAAGCAAGACCAGGTAGAGTCATGTTAATGATTACATAATACAGAACCTTTTCAGAGATTCTTCTTACACTTTGTCTTAGATCTATCTGCCTGAATGAGGAAAAGGAGAAGCATTTATCTATCAGCAGCCATCTCCAATGTGTTGGGAGCTGCTACTATGGGGCATTGATCCCCCATCCCTCTGTGTTGCAAAGATGTGAGAGCTTCACAGGTACCACAGCATCACATATTGCTGCATCAGAGATGCCTTGGGACAGGAAACTAGACTCTTGGTGCATGCTTGAAGTGAGGCAGTAGCAGCACAGAGCAGGCTAAAACTTTACCAGAACTGTTCGCCAGAGCTGTGGCTGGAACAGGTTGAAAGATGTGAGACAGTACACAAGAAGCATCTTATAAGCCTATATAATATGCTGTCGACTTGTCTAAATCTATTTCCTTCCTTCTTTCTGCCGTCAAAATTTCAGTGTCTAGAATAAGTTTAGAAGAAGCATTAAATAGGAAGGTTAAATATATTACCTTCCTATATAAACATGGGAATTTTATAACAATTTTATAAAATTTTATAACAATTTAACCTTGAGTCATGTTCAAAGAAAAAATGGCATTGGAACTTGGAAAATTAAAAAGTTATTCTACTTGAAAAATTTGACCATAAGGTGGACAGGCTAGATATCTTCTCATCTCATACAGTCTCAAACACCTGTGAATTGCTTGGAGAAAATGAAGAAATAAAATTAACCATTTCTTGTGTCCCTGTGAGTTTTATAAATCAATGTCATTAACTTTTGCTAAGATGTTATTTTCTATTGTCAGATAGCACTAGCAAATACAATGCTTACAGCCAATGAAGGAAAACTGGTAGAAACACGGAAAGAAAAATACTGGGATAATTTCCATCACATAAAGGGTTGACGTTAATATGGTTAGAATATGGGGGAAACTGCACGAATTTGACTTGGCATTCCTCTATGAGGCTCTGACTTACCAGAAATAGTGATGTCATCCTCATCATCCTCTCTTATTTGATGTAGAATTGTCACAAATAGAATAAAACCTCTCAGCTATTCAACTTAATATGTACTGAGATCCTAGGTGCTATGTATTGGCACTGTAAATATGAATAAGATATAATTATAAAATACTACATCCCAAGACTTAAGAATATTTGTTCTTTTAAGGTACATCCCAGAACATTTACCAAAACTGACCATAGACTGGATTACAAATCTAGTCTCAACAAATTTCAAAAGATTGAAATCATATAGAGTATGAATTAAGCCAAAAATCAATTACATAAAGGTAACAAAAAATTTTCCCAAATGCTTATAATTTAAGGAACATATACACCTAATGACTTATGAGTCAAACAATAAATCATAGCAGAATTTTAAAAATATTTTTGGAATGAATTCTAATGAAACTACAACATTGAAATTTGTGGGATGGTGTGAAATCAAATGCTTATGGGAAATTTATATCTCTAAATAGTATATTAGAAATTTTACAGAACGATTGCCGATCAATATTTCAAGAAGCTGGGGGGCAAAGTTGTTTGGCAGATGTCAGGGAAGGATTCCTCACTGAAGAAGGGAAACAAGGTGAGCCCTGAAATTGCCCTGCCTTTCTGGGGCAAGCCCTCTAGATCACATTGCAGGAGGAGGAGCTTAAGCAGAGCTGTCTTGCTGAGTTGAGGAGACAGAGATTGGAGATGAGACTGGGATGGCTTGAATTTTCCTGGTAGAGTATCACCAAGGAGGAAAGTATGCAGAGAAAAAAAATTCTAGAAATCTATATAAAGGTCTCCCCATGCCCATTGCTGAACGCCAAGTTTAACAGTTCTCAAAACTAGAATGAGATTGGGAAATACATGATTTGCATCCAGCAATAGTGGAGAGTCCTTCATTGAGAACCCCAGACATTGACAAAAGATCCCAGAAGGTTACGTGTTATGTAAGTGGGACTAAACTAGCCTGACTAAAAGCTATACTACATTTCCCCTCCCATCCCCCTATAAAAAGCTTAAAAACAAGCCTCCATAGTACAAAGCTGACCTGTAATTAACTAAACTACCTGCTAGAATGAAGTCTAAATTTGCTAGTTCTGGCCCTTCATGAAACACATGCAAAGACAGGATTAGATTTATAAGAGATTTATTTGGGAAAAAAAAGACTACATCACGTCTGGCCCTGTGAAGGTGTCATAGTTAATTTTGTGTGTCCGCTTCACTGGACCACAAGATGTCCTGATAGCTGGTTAATCTTTCTTTCTAGGTCTGTTTGTCAGAGTGTTTCTGGAAGAGATTAACATTCGAATTGATGGACTGAAAAGAGCAAACTGTGTTCCCCAATGTGGGGGCTTGATCCATTCTGTTGAGGGCCCAACTAAAAAAGATGGAGAGGAAGGTTGAACTCTTTCTGCCTGACTGTTGAGCTGGGATTTCCATCTTCTGCCCTTGGACTGGGACTCACACAGTCAGTGCTCCTGGTTCTTAGGCCTTTGGACAACAGATTGTGGGACTTCTCAGCCTCCATAATTGTGTGAGCCAGTTCCATATAATAAATATTCTAGATTGATCAATTGATGGAGTGATGGATCCTATTGGTTCTGTTTCTCTGAAGAACCCTAATACAGAAGGAAAGAGGATTGACTAGCAAGAGACTTAGACTGCAGGACAATTCCAATAAAGTTTAAGGTCAGCTGATGAACACTCAAGCCACAGTTGCCCATTGAAGGCATTCCCCACCTCACAGGAATAAGTCTGCATTAGTAGACCTGCTTCTCTTGGTCATTGTTGTTCTGATAGAAACAACCCACAGGAATGTAGCTTTGGCATGAAAATATCAATGGAGCCAGAGAATAGCAGCTGGGACACCCCCAGTCGATTAAGCTCCACAGGAAGAGATCTGAGTGGTGAATTTCCATGGCTATCTCAGTCCACCCCTTGTGCTGCACATCTCTATTCAGACCTAGATGCTAGGAAGATAATTCGGTGGCAGTGTCAACCCAAAGCCTATGCTCAATAATCCTAGAAATGTCTGCATATTCTCCTTTGCCAGTATATAGTCATAAGCCTACTTGGGGAAGAACTTGAGAGTTCATCACATTATATACCTTTTCTTTCTCCTAGGGACCCTGCCACCTCTTCCATCTATGGGTTCCTCATCTGAAAATTGCCTCTGGTTTGGGAACTGAGCAAGGGATTGTGACATTTCATGAGGCTAGGGCTCTCAATCTCTTGCTTTTCCATTCTAGCTTTATTTGGTTATAGATGTCAAGCAGCATTCTGGTTATTTGCCCATCTATTTTGCCTATAAGGGAGTTACATTAAATCATCTCCTAAATACCTTGTGAGTCAAGCCCCCTTAACTCCAAGCCCCCTTAACCCCCTCCAATTTTACCAGTTGTTAAGTAATAGGGCCTCTTGGCTTTGGGTCGTTAAGCACCAGTCGTTCAGGGCCCTGTTACTTCAGGGCCTGTTACCCAGGAATGATATTAACAAGCCCAGGTCTGTGACCGCCTCACTTAGCATCAGCCCTGGTCTACAGAGGAGAGCCACATCTGAACTTAGTGTTACCGGTGCCCTCTCAAAGGCTCATTCTTGGTGGCTTTAGTTAATTGTCACTATTTCATCACATAATCATCACACTATATTCATCACAAAATACCACATATTCATCACACTGTGTTTAATAACAGTACATATGTGCTGCTGTATAGCAGGTCCCTAACTAACATAGCAACACCAGAGATTTCAGGCAGGACTAAGAGATTGCTGTTGAAGGCCAGGTGAGTCTGGAGCAAGCCATCTATACACAGTTCTTTTAACACACTCTAAGGCACTATAAGATTAGGGAGACATTTATCAAGTTATGTTCTGTGGAACACTAGTTCCATAGGATATGAATTGTTAGGAGAGAAACAAAATTAGAAAGTTTCTTCAGTGCCAGATTCTCAAAGCTATTTATATGTTAACAATTTAGTGCAACTCTCAAAAGATGATTTGATCTGTCCCATGTGGCAGCCTTACATTGTGTGGCCTAGGGCCCCCATCAGAGGAGGCCCTGCTCCCCATTTGCTGGGTGTGCTGTTAGCAGGCGGCCGGCAGCTGTCAGCCCTCTTTGGGAATTGCCTCAGCTGTAGAGAGCCACTTTACCTAAGGTCACACGCCTTCATGGCATGGCCCATATCCAATGATTGATCAATGTGGGGACATAAAGTTGTTCTATTGCCCATCTCAAACATCTCTAAAGGCCATTTCAACTCCAGAGTGCCCTGTGATGTTGGCCAAGGGTGTTGCTGGACCTGAATTACAGCTCAGCTTATACCTCTACCCAGTCCCACTGCTGCTGCTTCTCTTTTTTCCAAGTGTTTGTCCAAAATGCTCTTCTTAACAAACATCCTGCAGGTTAAATTATAACTCAGAATCTGCATCCTGGAGGACGTTGTCTGAGATGACCTACTTCCTGATTTTGTTTGCCCACCAAAGCCTTTTTTCATAGAGTACCTAACAAGCATATGGTTTATGAAACAATCTGGATGCTGGTAAGTGTAGGTGTGAGAAATGGATAAGAACCTGTGTGGGAAGATGGGGAGGGCGGCAGTGCAAGACTTGAATCCCAGCCCATGTATGCCTTTGAGATTTGAAACCAGCCCAATTTTGAGATGTAGCTCTCTAATGCTTAAAGTGCTACAGAACCTACTAAGGTGGATGGAGAGGTCTAAATATTATAGGACCTATGCAAATACATTTTCTTTCCCCTGTAACAATGTTTAAATCATCTCTAAGATGATCAGTGGTTGTCAGACAGATGCACTTACTTCTGTCTGACAAATAGAAATTATTTTGCATTCACAGCAGCTTTTGGATATTTAGCAGAAGAAAAGGAAAAGTATGATGAAAACCTTTGAAAGTCTGTTTCCAAGAAATAAAAACTGCAGTAGGAATTCCACAAAACTGAAAAATCCTCAGAACTAGAAGATCTATCCAAAAAAATCCAGTGCATTATAATACACTTAACTTATTAAAACATGTTTGGCAAGCCACTGACTAATATCATTTCCAGATGTGACTGTATTACCAAAAAAAATACTGGAATGATTATTTTTTACAAATCTTTGAAATAATCATATTTGTATTTCGACACTAATTTGAAACAAGGAGCTGGCTTGAAATACTAAAACCTAAGTGATCAGAAACAATGAGCTATCAGACTGCATGATCAGCATAGAGAAATTTCCAAATAAGATGAGATGTGTGCCGCCTCTACAAATTTGGCTTGGGGAGGAGTTTGCTTCGGCTCACTTGAATAAGCTACTGTCTATGGCTCACAAGGGTCCCGTTCTTAATGAGGTGGTGTGTAGCAGCAACACACTGTGAATCCAAATAGCAGATGGCAACACTGTTGAGTAGGCTGGCAGTCTGATGTCTAGCCACCAACTGGCGGCAATCATTATTAAAGTGATTCATGTGCCCAGGGAAAATCTTCATAAGAGCCTTAGCAAATGTTAGCAGCAAGAAGCAAATGATCTGCTATTCCTATCTGCTATGGATGCTACCTGTATTTCTTAAAATATTGTTCCCCATCTACACAAAGGAATGGCATAATATGTGAACTGGACCCTATTCCTCTCCTATATATTCATATTCCTTTAGAAATGATAGCAGTGATTTCTCTGTTTGGCAAATAGCTTTTACTTGAAGGAAATAGCTTCACAGCATTCACCCTATGGACTTACGGAAAATATTTAAT